AACACTTTCATTAAGTTAACTACTTTCATAATTTTTATTTTTAATCATTCTATTTCTGTAGTTAATTGTATGGGAGTGGATCAGTGTGAGTGTCGGTTATCCATAAAATGTACGAAAGTTGAAATGCTTCTAATAAATTTTATGATTTGAAACCAATCACTATGTCGTCTTCGATAGTTTCATTTCAATATATTTCACATAGTTCTTTCTGACATTCATCACTTGGATGACAATCAAAACAAGTGTACTAATTGATTTTCGTCATTATTCAACGAGTTTTGCTTTCAGTCAAACAGAACTTAGCATTACACAGTTATTGATATAATTTTAAATAAATAATATTTGTTTTCAAAGTCGTAGCTTTTGATCATATCATTTCTGTTGTTGCTTGCTTCAGACACGTGTACATTGTTATCTACACAAGCAGAAGAAAAAAGAGTATACTTATTTAACGCAGTTTTTTTTGCTATAGTGAAGAATGAAGACGGCCATAGTGACTGGTGGAACCCGTGGAATTGGACTTGGGATTGCAAAATGCATGGCTCGAGATGGATACGATCTCGTATTAGGTTATCACACAAACCATGAAGCAGCGACGATTGCTCAAGCAGCGATTGAAAATGAATTTCGTGTCAAAGTGATATGCTGCGGTGGAGACATTTCCATTCCCGAAACGATGGAACAGCTCTTCACCATCGTACGTACCCATTTTAACAATGAGCTTACGGCATTCGTGCATAATGCTGGACTTCGCGTTGGCATTACAACTGAATTAACCGATGCTCAGCCGAAAGCAGATGACGACTTTGAAGCAAGCTTTGACTACTATCAAAAAGTCTATCCACGTGCTTTCAAACGAGGCTTGCAGCTAGCATTAAAATGTACAGGTCTACGTCATGTCATTGCGATTTCGAGTCCTGGTTGCAATTCTAATCAATCGCCCCGCATATTCTATGAAAATCCAGGTCAAGCAAAAGCTAGTATGGAATTCCTAGTACGGTTAAACGCCTGCGTATTAGCTAAGAAAGGAATAAACGTCAACTGTGTTATACCAGGTTATGTCAGGACAGAAGCATGGAATAAGATGTTTGAAAAAAACAAGTTCTCACCTGAAGACGCTGAAGATAGAGTGAAAAGTTCACCTGCTGGGCGTTGGGCTGATCCATTGGAAATCGGTGAAGTAGTAGCCTTTTTATGTTCTCCACGTGCGGCGTTCATTACCGGCGTAGCATTGCCTATTGATGGCGGGTTGCATCTTGTCGGGTGAAATTCACTACTAGAGTAGGACTGCATTCATGTATACCAGAGTTTTTCTCGTGTATCGTAATAAGAATATTATTAAACTTATGTCAAAAACTAATATAATAAAACTTTCACCCATTTTTTCATGCAAACACGCCACCCTATCCTCTCGCAAGACGGTAGACGTGGCTGAATTACATGTGTGCAGATGAAAACGTGCAAATTTTTGAATGAATAATTCTAACCAACTTACTACTTATAATAAAGATCTTTCATATTTAATGGACTATATATTCAGAGTGTGGTTGGAGGCGAAGAAGAAATCGACACCCATCCACAAAGTCTAACTAAACAATTTTCTTTGCAAATGAAAAGAAAATCGCTTAATAAGAAGAGCAACAGAATATTTCGATTCATGCGTACTAGGTCAATAGCTGATCATGTTGGAGACACACTTGATTTATAATTGTCCGCAGCGTCCATTAGATGATCAACCAATAGTAAATGATATTGACAGTACAAATTATCTATTTTTTTTTCTAAAATCACCGATACGAAATACCAACTACGAGTTATTGTTTCTTCTCTATTGACAGGCAACTAAATGAAATTCAATTATAAGTCTTATTGAAAGTATTATTTTATTGTCTTTTTTTATCTATAATCATTCGAATTTAAATTCATCATATGTTACGCTGAAATTATTATTGCATTTATTATTTTGTTATTTAGGATCATTCAAATCAAAAACATTGTTATGTCCCATACAAAATATTGTTGTATTTGGCATTTTTTATTTAGGATATATTAAAAGAAGACGAATTGTAACTTTTGTTAAATATATTTAGATATTTGATTCCATATTTAGGTTGAAACAGCTTAGTATGAAGATGAAAAACAGTGTTCTCAGACGCTACCAAGATTGTTTCGGTTGTTTCCACATCTTATCTTGCTAGTCAGGTTTTTTTACGAGATACCTTGAGGTCTGAGTGTTTTGTGTCTTTCGGAAACCTTATATGGGTTCTTCCGAGGAAGGATTGATTGAAGCGTGTTAGGTGGTATTGAATAGAGTTTACGAGCCTACGGATACCTATTTTTTTCAGAGTGTAGACTTTGAAAATTGCTCATAATGTATTGACCCATTGTGTTCAATTTAGCCAGTAGGACGCGCTGCTTCCAAATGGCCTGAATTTCGGTCGGTTCGAGCCATCGGTCGAATATTGCAACATCGGCAATGCGTCCATGCCAGAAATTTTCGTTTGAGGTCTTGACACCAATATGCAACGTGCGAGGCATTTGCATTTGTTGATCTTCCCATCGTTCATCATAACGATAGTATTGAGGATAATCAATGACATCATCAATTCTTCGAGTCATATCGACATTACACTGAAGCTGACCATCAACAAATAATTGTTGCTTGTTACGAGAAACTTGAGCCACAACATGATACCAAGTGTTTTTCATCATATGATGCGGAGCACCACAAAAGAAATGTACGGAACCTGTTGATATCATTACTTGATTTTCTAGCACAGCACGAAGATTGACACCCAAATGAAGCTAAGCATTAAATGGATGTTGCCAAGAGCCAATAGCTGTTCGCCAACTGATACCTCCCGGATACGTGTCCATGAGCCATAGGGATACGCAAAATATATCAGTTTGATATTGTCGTATATCATGAACGGGAATATTAATCGACGATTGACCATCAAGAACAAGACATGGACCAAGAAAGCATGTTTCTTGTTGCGGTTGACCAGTTAGAGAGAACCGATCATTGCTGGTGATACCGGTTGAATCGTGTCCTAATTTCGATGCATTTTCAAATTGCCAATGACCGATTCCATGGACACGGCAAAAACGAGCAAAGCGTTGTTGAAAGAACCATTCATCAATGATAATTGCTCGCCAACGACGACAAGTGCGCGAGATAGTTAATAGCTCGGACAGAGTTCCGTCGATCAAGAAAAAAATTCCAACAATAATTTCGTTAGGAAGATCATCTATTGAGTAAGCCATAAAATTTCGACGATATATATGGATCTGAAAAGGAGACAAAATGTAATAGTGGCAAAGATTTTCTTTTTCTGTTCTCTTCAAACACATTTTATTATAAGCAAAGAGAAGTGAAAGTGAGCACAATTTCCTACCGATGAGTAATAAGCAAATAGATAATGATACGAGGTAATCGAGTCTAAATCATGGACACAATCTGTCATTATGTGAAAAAAACCTAGGGTAAGACAAGGATGCAACGAATAAAAGTTGTATTGTGAAATTTTCAAGGTTTTCAACGATGAATAAATGCCTGATTTCTTGAAATTACATCAACTCTCTTTTATCAGTTCTCAAATCTTATTCTCATTCCATTTACATTGTTAAAAAAAAGTAGAATCATAAACTCTTTAAACGTTTATGAAAGGGTATTTGATTGTCATAAATTCTTTCATATACATAGAGGAAGCGTATATCAAAAAGATACATGAAGCGGCTTACTGTACATTTAATCTCACCATTAAATTATTGAATTAAGATAAATGTAACACAAAACAAAAGACGTTGATTACAAAATGATATTATTATCTTTAGATTATCATGCTTCAACAAGATATTGATATGTTCAACTCAAGGTTTAAAATAATATTTTAAATCTCCAAAATTATTGTATTTGTTGAGTTCAACGTACCATTAAATTGCTTAATCAAGATAAATATGAAGTAAAAACAAGTTCAATATGAACTTATTCTGTTTTCTTTAGGTTTATCTCAATTCAATAATTTAATGGTCAGTTTAATTCAACATATAAGATAACATTTTATGCTTAGAAATATTCTTTTGTGTTGAATAGAATTCACTATCACATTGTGCGATTAAGGGAAATTGAAAAAGACTTATTGTACAGGGTGTTCCAGAAATAACCTACCACCAAGAAAATTGTTTGTCTTCACCGCATTTCAGCCAGTTGAACTTCTTTTTTTTCTAATGGTAAAGGAAAATTCAGATTTTTTTTATTATGAAAAAACTATATACAATATTTTTTTTCGTTAATTAATTCAACTTTTTGCGTACTTTTCAATATTAAATCAACCAGATATTCAACTCTAGCTGTATAAACATTTGTTCGGATGCTTCTTTTTTTAATAAGAAGACGTGTAATACTATAAAGCTTGATGACGGCGAAGACTATCAACTCGTTCATCTCTTACAGTGCATCAGTTATCAATGTTTTCATTTTATTGGGGACAAATTGCTCTGTAAAAACATTTTGTTAACTGTTGTTTTGAAAAATATTGAAAAGAAGGTTTATAAGGGAAATACACCATATCGGAAAAAACTTCGATTTGATATTGAAGTCAATAGTCATGGTTTTTAGCACCATTCATCAACTTTATCTTTCCGAATAAAAACTCTGAACTCTCCTATCATCAGAAGAAAAATCAGCTCAATAGGCTGAAATACAATGGAGATGAACAATTTTCTTTTTGATAGATTACTTCTAGGACATCCTGTATAAAATTGAACAATTTCTCTATGATTAGCATCAAGTACTACATTGTGTTTCATATTTTAATCCTGCAGAAATTACAGTAACAGCTTTTTTGTCGGTATTTGACTTTTAACGATACATAGGAAAAACGTACTCGTATTTCTAGTTGTAGTACTTGTTGAAATTGTACGATTCAAATGTTTGTTGAGTTTCGTAGTAGTTTGTTAAAAGTAAGTTTGTCCGAATTTTTTTTTGCAATGATAGATACAAGTTAAGAACGTTTGTTGTTTGTTGCTGGATTGAGTATTTTGTTTTGTATTTTATGCATGTAGCTCCTATATTTATTAATATGACACACGCTCGGTTATTTTTCTTGCTGTTCTTTTTCCTTCAAAGATACGTGGGAAAGATACGTAATTATTCACGATCGTCATTACTTGTTACTGATGGATGATGTATGTGTGAATATTAATGTGTTTTTTTTTGGTTTTTTTTCGCTAGCATTCACACATGCCAATGAAAATAACTTTGTAACATTCCTATTTAGATATTAATGTATTATATAAAAAAACATCATATCAATGATATGATTAATTGACTTAAGCTAATAGGCCACTTTAAATTGTTTTATTGTTGAATAAAACATCTATCAAGTATGGTATTAGATTACACTATATCTTATATAAAAAACTTGCTAAATTAAAACATTCCGAAAGTAAAATCTCTACTTAATCATTAGAAATAGCCTAAATCATTGAATTACTCACAATGGTGGATATGATTTAGATAGTCAACTTTTTAGTGGAGTAGAAATTAAATGAAGAAATATCATTTTTCATCAATAAATATTGTCATAGGAATTGTATCCAATGGTGAACTCTTAAAATAAGAAATATATTAAGATAAATTCTTTTTTAATATAAATTACCCACAGATAATTAGAGGAACCCATAATTAATTTCATTTGATTAGCATCATTTGAGAACAGATTAGTTATCTCATCTGAACTAAATCGATTTAAAAAACGACTTAATAAACGAAGAATCTAAACAAATATTTCTTCAAGGTATACAATCAGACATAGATCCTAACTGTACGATAGATCAAACCATGATAAGTAATACGCATTTGAACAGCAAATATTTCAATTAAATAATACAAGTAATAAAACATTATTGTAAATACAAATTTAAAGAATAAGTGGCTTATTCTATGATGACAAAAACTATTACATAAAGTCTAAGAATAGACATAGTAAAAAATGACTTAAAAAAATCCATCAAATATATAATCAAAAATGGTTGATTGATAATTGCTAATTATTATATGCAAATATTAATTGAAAAATCAAAGTCAATTTAATATGCTTGCTAACACGAGGAATAAATAAAAGAGGGTGTGGGTGTGGGGTGAGGATGTTCTTTTAATCCACACCCACACCCTCAAATATAATACAAAGAGAAAGAGTGAACATTTGTCAACGTACAGAAAACAATCGATTGAATTTATTGCTCCTCGATTCTGGAACGCCATACAATAATCAATGAAAGAAATGTGTTTTGAGCACCAAAAAAAAGGTGAAATGAGCACCAAATGAACAGAACAGTACAAAAGGTATCAATTAAGCTTTAAACGAATAAAGATTGCAGTTCATAGGTACTTTACTATTAAACTGTGATAAGCTCTACTCATATTTATTAATTCAATGACAATTCTTAAATAATCTAATTAATTGGAGTAATGATTTGTATATAAAAGATGTGTTAAAAAAAAGTATAAATTACCATAGCAAAAACATGTCAAGCAAACAATATCAAATTTTTAATTTTGTGTTCTTCGTGTTGTTTTGTGTAATGATATTATTTAATTTCTTATTTCATATATAAATAAATTTGGTGCTCATTTCACTCTTTTTTGGTGCTCAAAACACTCTCCACCCATAATCAATGACAAAACTACGTTTGATCGTTGATGTAAAATATATAACTTGATCATCATATAAATTTATTGTTTCTTGTAACACAATTACACTAATTGTTGCATGCAGTGTATGTCTTTATTTCCATCTTTTTTGCTTCATTATTTTCTTTCAACGAAACAACGATATGTTTCTCTCATTAAGAATATAGTATCATTCTTAAGAGTTGATTTGTTGTTATTTTCTCTTGACTCGTGTCTCGTTATTATTTAATAGGTACAACTGCGGAAAAAGAACATCCCAGCACCCACACTCTTTGATGTGTGCATGTGAGTTACACCGATTAGTGGAGAAAGTGTTCTTATTCTGCATTATTACCGCCAAGAAAAAAAATAAGAAATGAAGATAAATATTGCTGAATGGACTGCGTATTCGATGAGATCTTTCCAAAGACGTAGTGATTCGGGGTTCAAAATAGTTATTGGTGAATGTCTACAACAGACATCGAATACGAACCGAATCAATTGGGGTTCGAGTCGAATCAAGTCGAACCGAACTGAACTCAAGCCAGTGAAATTCAATTCGTTTCGGTCTCTGGCGTTCACATATTGTATACACACACCATACACTGTCTGAGAGCGCTATCTTTTCAGATAATTGTAATTTACATATATTTACTCCATAAGCAAACAGAGTTCCTTGGTGGCTTCGGTTTTTCGGTCTCAAATTTGATCAATTATAATTAACCAAGGAATTTTGGAACAGGCTCCTAGACGAATATGAGCAAATTTTACTTGAACTTAATGCTTAACTCACCTACGTCGTATAAATACTGCTATTTTTCGTTCACTGTTGTCTACGCATTCTTTCCTTCGACCTGAGTCATACATCGATTACAGTGTAACGTTCTTACATACACGACAAAAAAAATGCATTAGTTGTAGGCCTCTCTCTATCTAATTGCCTTCTTTTTCTTCGTCAAAGTAAAAGAGAGGTAACCTATGCATCTCCCCCGTTCATACATGAGTGATCACTGCATCGAAAGTGGGATAAAAGCATGCGCTTCTTGCATTTTTATTTAGTTATTCGTTTTGATTTAGATTCACGATCAGTGCATCTAGTCATTCTTTCTCGATTACGATCGTTCTGGGACAATATCTTACGGTAGATACTTTGTTCACTTTAGTATTTGTATTCTACGCTTTTTACATGAGGACTAACTGTTATTCTTTGAAATTTTCTTTCACTGTTCAGCTATACAGGGTGAGTCATAAATATCTTTATTCTAAAAAAAACTTGAATATCTCTAGTCTGTTTCAATCAATCGGGCTAATTTTTTTCTTGATGATAGACAACTCTTCAAAGTTTTTATTCATAAGAAAACCGTTAATAGATACTATTTTGAATTAGCACAATTGACTTCAATGAAGAAATATACTATTAGCGACAAGTATCTCATCCTGCGATCTCAGCCATTCTTAGGGCTAGAAGTCTGAAATTTTGAGCGCATAACTACCTTAGAAATGCAGATTAATGACACCAGCTCGGTCTTGATCGTTTGAGCTGAAAAGGAGTTATGATATACGAGAAATCTTCTGACTGTGAGCCCTGTAA